CCTTGGTCTCCTAATATAAAATACCTAGGTGTAGTTCTGGACAGAAAATTAACTTGGAATCCACATATCACCTCCAAACTACAACAAGGATACCAGAGGCTAAAAATACTATACTCATTGATCAACCGACAAACTGCATTAAGCTAGAGATGTTCTCTTTTATTATATACACAAATTCTACGACCATTACTTCTATACGCAGTCCCTGTGTGGGGAAATTGTGCAAAAACCCACATCCACAAAATATAAGTTTTCTAATCAAAAGTTCTGAGAACCGTTTCTAATGCTCCATGGTTTGTACGAAATGATGCACTTCACAAAGATTTTCAGCTACCCACAATAACAGAGTACATAAAAAAATTAACAATCAACTTCTTCGATCACATCAATTCTGCTCACAGTGCGAAATTTTATAAACTAAGTGACCCACCTTCTGTACGCCAACTCAAGCGTGGACGCCCACACGACCTGTTGTTATAACTATTATTTATTATTATATTATTTTTTTTTTTTTCTTCCGATTTGTAAATACTTTGAAACGTAGTAGATAGTTTCTATTTTTACTAATAATTTTTCTAATTATTACTAATTGTTATATTTTTTTCCAAATGTTAAAAAAAAAATATATCTGATCAACATTAAGTTAAGGTGACATTTGTCAGTAAAACTTTATTTTAATAAAAAAATTTAAAAAAAAAAAAAGAGCTAGGGATAATTTTGAACAAATAATAATTAATATTAAATTGGATTTTTTTTTTTAATTGTATGCAATCTTTTCTTTTAAACACAATCAAATTTGTTAAAATTAAAGTTACCAATTAATTACATTTTATGAATTAGTATTTTATTATATTATTAAACATTATGAAATTATATAATTTATTATGAAAACACGTAAACCATTAATATGGATACCTAGTTGGTAAGTTGAAAAAAAATATATATATTATCAGTGGTGCTAGATAAACATCATGTTTACTGATGTAAAATTGGGCTATTTTGAAACCGAAGTACAACAAAATTACAAAAGTTGTTATTCTTTGTGTTAATAGATGATTTTGTCAAAATTCAAACTTAAAATGTCTGTAAAAATAACTGTATTTATATATTTATTAGTTACAGAAATAACTGCTGAGAGGACCCTTATTTTAAATTTTCAATCATTAACTGTAACACTTGAGAATTTTATAAATTTTTAACTACAAAATCATCATTAAAATCAATTTACAATTTGATAAATGTTATCAAAAATTGAAATTTTAATGCTTATAAAAAAAAAATGTGCATATGTATTTATTATATTTTTCAACGGCTATTGAAACAATATATCAAAAGTATTATATTAAATTTACATGCTTTTTGAGCCGAAAAAAATGTTTTTATTGACATTTATAGAAACAAAAATGAAAATTGAAAATGTCCGTCAACAGCTTGAAGCAAATCAAAATTATTTGAAAATGTTATCAAGTATTTGAACTAATGAAAAACATATGGTGTAAATTTCACGTATCTACAGCAATTCGTTTTTGAATTACAACAAAATAAGAAAATCTCTACATGAGAAATCGAGTGAATATGCAATGTTGTGAAAAAGTCAACTTCAAACGCCTATAAAAATTGTATTTGACTTTCCGATAGAAATTTTTTTTTGTTAAGGTAGATAGATAACCTTTTAAGGGATCTTATATTACATTTTTAAATCTTAGATATAAAAAAAAATTTTTTTATGAATTTCTAACTCAAAATAATTTGCTAATTTTAGGGATTATTAAGAATATAGTCGAAATTCTAAATTCAAAAACTCTTAAAAAATGACTGTACATTTACGCCCATCTTTTATTTTATTTTCCACTAACAACAACTTACAAGGAGCCTCATATTAAATTTCCAAGTTTTTCGGCTGAGTTAAACATTTTTAGACATTAGTTTAAAAACAACTTAAAATAATCGAAAATTTCAAATGCCTATAAATAGTTCAACATGAGTTAGAATATTTTGAAAATCGTACAGTGTATAGAAAATGCGGACATAAACATTCAGTGAACATTTCATGTACCTACAGTATTTTTTTTAGAGGTACATCAATGGCCAAAATCAATTTTGTCAAAAACCAAGTTTCTGTAAAAATACACTTAACGCTCCTGCTCAGAATCTAAAATCAATTTTAGTAAATCTATTATTATTTTTTTCAAATTAAACCTAGCTCTAATTTTGGGTTTAAGATACAAAATGAATAGATAATATTACTTGAAAAAAAAAACAATCAAACCAAAAATGAAATTCAAAATAGCAGTTACCATTAAAAAAAATTAAGCTGCATTGTGCATGTGCAAAATACATGAGTTAAAAAAATTGTAAGTTGGAGAGATTTGAGATCCATTAGTCTAGTTGAATGTCCCACAAACAAAATTGAAAATTATTTATAAAGTGATAAGCAGGGCTGGATGTTTATGAAATTGCAAATTTTTTTCTATTTATCCAATTTATTGTTAACCTAGATACAAATTTGATTCATGTTCTACTGAATAAAATAATGCTATTTTTATTTTGCATATTTAGTGGTTTTGTATTTTAAATGCATAATTTTGGATTTTAAGAATATAAATGCATATTTCAAGACAATTTAACGTAAAATATTAATAATGTTCCTTCTTAGGTTTTTTATATCGTGATTGTCTGGAATATTTATTAGATAACAATTTAATAATAGAATTTTGTATAGACTTCATGCCATGAGTATGTGGCGACGACCGGGCCATGTATTAGTACGATTTTAATCGGTGTGTTTCCCGGTCGGTCGTTAAGAGTACCTATTATTATTTATATTTTTCCGCGGTCAGTTGTACTTTTATTTAAAAATGCCGAAATGTAAGTCGTCTTGTTCAAATTTTTTTTTAGCATATTTTGGTGCTTTTATTGACTAAAAATGCATATTTTGTTTGCATATTTCATAATTTTTTAGTGCATAAATGCATGCATATTACAGTACTTTTAAGTGCATAAACATCCGAGAACTAGTGATAAGTGATAAAGTGTGTCCGGGATCTGCGGATACATGGAATAATATAATAAATAGGGCATGGGTTTAAATTACCTAAAAAATGCAATTTCAAAAAAAAGGAATTTATGACCTTAAAACTCAAAAGGATGTCCTGAAAAAATTCCCTGAAGTGCCCAACAATTTTCTTCAGAAAACTAGATAAATTTATGAACAGTTTTATATAAACACCAGATAACCTTAATAATGTTACTTAAGTACAAAATGTGTACTTCAATAAATATATATATACATATATAAATATTTTAATATTAGTAGAAAGAAAGTAAAAATGACCTAACACTTGACTTCTGAATACTTTGAATACCTGTTATCCAGAGGAGGCTAGGTAAATTAGGTCCGTGTAAATGTAGGGTACATTTTTAAAGTGGTAAGTTGAGTCCTATGTAAAAAAAGTAGTAAGTAAGTTGGGTTCTTGCTATAAACCCACTTACCTGTTCAGCCTAGACTTTTAAGACTTTTAATTTATACCATTTATACCATAAGATTTTTTTATTTATACAATTTATACCAAGAACATAATATTTTATACCATTTAATTATAAAATTTGACTTCTAATAAAGATGATTAAAAAATGGGATGAACATAATAGCATTTTATTTTCGGGACTCAATTTACCAAGTACCTACCTTTTTTTCAGGGACTCAACTTACCTATAACCTTTTTCCCAGGACCCAATATACCAATCAAAAAAAAAAATCAGATAGGTTTATCAATGATTTAACAATCCATACAAGTTCAAGTTCATAGTAAAAAATGATAATATTTAGAGAATAATAGATAACATAAAACCAATTTTTATTTTTGGAAGAACGTAACTACATAAAATAAAACCTATGAATAAGTTAACTTAACTAATAAAAAAAAATGATTTACCTTGTTGATTTTGAATAACTTCTGAGAGACAAGAAAATATTTATTTTTTTAGTTACATAAAATTACCTAGTTAAGGTTGTACATGTTTTTGATTAAAAGTACCAAGTACTTTAATAATTTACATATGTACATCAGTACAGATTCAATTTTTTTTTAATGTGACTAAATAATGTATCTAAATTTATACTAGCTACAAAACAATGTTTTAATACATTCCAATGTTTTCATAATTTATATCTTATTTGTATTTGTTTTTGAACATGATAGATATGCACATATATGCTACAATAATTAAGAAAAAATAAGCAATTAATAAGATTTAAGTAATTAAATCAAATTAATAATTTTTTCACAGGTTAGGTATGTAGTTTTTTGTCATTTTGAAACACAATACAAAAGAGAGAAAATTCAAGTTTATTTTTTTAAATTGGCACATTAAATATTTAGTCACAAAAATGCTTGTGTATGAAAATAAAACTTATTCTGATAGTAAAGTATATAATATTAAAATTTAAAATTATCAAATTTGCATAGTTTTGATAGTTCTAAGATAATTCTTAAGACTCTCGATATTAATAATGTTTAGTAAATATTAAAAAACTTCATAAATGTTTTTTATGAATTTAGATTAAATATTGTAAATAATGTAGAAGTCAAATAATAATTGCCTGAATAATTTATTTAAAATAATAATGTACAATTACTTATTATGCATATCTATGGATTAATTTTAAAAAAAAAAGATGTTCTTGAAAAGTAAATTTGTTTTGTACCTAGGTGTAGAATTGAGCTTTAAAAATTAATTTCTTAACCCAGTTTCCAGTGGTGTAACTATATTCAATAGTGCAATCTCATATTACCAAAAGTAGATGGGCTTAATAAGGTAATTTTATATCATATGAGATGATGAACCCTATAATATAGAAATTAACTAAAAACATTGAAAATATTAACAACATTTTTTTTCTCTGTATACAGAGACTAACATATCTATCAAGAACAAAATAATATCAGTATACACCACTGGCTTACTTAAAATGTTCTTTAATATTTTTAACCACTTACCTCACTTGTAACTGTGAAATTGAACATAGAAAATAGCCTGTAAAAAAACAAATAAATACATTATAGGCAGGTATGACTATGCAAGTATTTAGATTTTAAACATAAGTGAAATACAAGTATTCAAAATAACTTGAGTACCTAATACATATTTCAATAACTCTATGATTGGCTTTAATGCTGTGCCATAACATCTATTGTATTCTATAGGTCAAGGATGGCAAACATTTTGAACACTGTGTGCCCAAAATTTTGTTATAGTATAATTTGATTGTATAATTAATGTATTAGTATAAAAAGGTTAGTTTAGGTTATTATAGGTCCTATAATATTTCTCGGAAGTAATGCGAAAGCAGTTCCCACGTCATCGATTTAAAACTGGAAAAAAAGATAAGGGCCTATAGTATTATATATTAAATAATACATAATAGTAAAAATGTTTACGTGCCATGGATTTGCCGTCCCTGCTATAGGTAATATGCTATAATTTATATCATTAACCTTGCAATATAGTTTTATACATTTTTATTAATACCTATATAGTTACCTATGTAATTTTTATCTATTAAATAAAATAAATGACAGTATTATTAGAAACATATTTTATTATTTCTGTTTGTGAAATAGAGTAAAAAAAAATTGAGGCTTGTATAAAACCTTTTTTATACAATTTAAATGCCATTGTTATTTTTTTTCCATAAATGGATACGTATAAACATTTTTTAAAATTTCTGAATACAGCAATGCGATGAATTTTTAGTGGATTTTATTGAATCATGTCCAAATTAAAGCTTATATTCATGTTCAATAAATAATTTAAAAACAAACAATGTATAGCTGGTCAGATAGATAATATTACCTATTTAAATACTCAATAGTTATAATTAATAACTTATGTAATAAGTAAGGCAAAGGACTTGTAGCTCTATAAAATCACCAAATATGCACTTAAATGTACAATATATGCATTAAAAAATAAGATTATTTGTATGAATATATTTTATTTAAATTTTGATATCTGCGACTGATGTCCCCCAGGCCCGTACTGATAATATCATGTGCAGTGAACAATATCCATAAATAAATAAAATTAATAACTGGAATATGAATCTAATCGGCAATCCTCAAGAGTGGGAACAGTCACAACCATATTAATATGATCAAAATTTTAAATAATTTTAAATTCAACATTATTTTGGTTATATATATTAAATATTTAAATTAAACAATAACGTTGATGGTAAAAATATTGATAAAATGATAAATTATTGAAAATATGCATCTTAACTTATAGAATCGAAGAAATATGCACTAAAACCAAAAAAAACTCGAAACATGCATTTATATGCAAAATAAAATGTCAAAACTAGCTTTGTTTCATCATGAAAGGTATTTGTTTTTTACTCTGCTATTTTTGTAATCATATATCACAAATATTCAAATGCTACAAGTCCTCTGCCCTAGTAATAAGTAATATTAGTAGTAATAATAATATCTTAAATATACACAGTGAAAAATGAGGGGAAAATGTATTACACAGGTAGGTACCTACCAAATTAAATTATTTAAAACGTTTTTATATGATAGCTAAGACAAGTATAATGTACAACATCTAGAACTTTGTAACTCTACATTATGTACATAACCTCCTAACCATGAAATTTATATGTAGTCTTAACATTAAAAGAAAAATGTATAACAATAATAATAAGGCTGTCAACTAGTATGTGGTCTACGGGTGAATTTACAAGTATAGTATTAAATTAAAATGTATTAAAAATAAATAAATATCATAAGTAGTAAAATAAATTACTCATTGATTATAACTTGTAAATTTGTATGTATATCAATTGTCTCAAAATTGTTGTCAAGAATGTGGAATATTGTTAAATGAAAATCTTTTGCCAACATATTGAGTGTATGCTAGCATATAAATTGTAGTGTCACACAATAAGTGACCACCTATGTGACCAATAAGCGTCTGAGTCAATACTTTTAAGAAATTATGAAGTATTATTATCGAAAGTCATAAAGTTTGAGGCCATAAAGATATGATGTAGTGTCAGTCAGACGGGCCATGAATTCAGCCGTGGCCACTCCATATTTTAAGGGGTGCAAATTTTTTGCTCACTTGGCGTGTTCCTTTAGGTCTATACAGAGAGTAGAAATCCCGTAAAGTATATATTAAAATATTAAGCGGTGCGTAAATTGTAGGTGCAATTTTTCTTTACAGGGCGCAGGGCCGTCCTGAGGTCCATATGTTAATGAAAAATTGTTTCAACAATATCTCATGTGAATTTCTTTGAGGCCTGTGTATTTCATTATGGGGCCCCTTAAAAAAACTGATCCATGGGCCTGAGATATGCTAGGCCGACACTGGTAAAGTGTTAACCAAGCAAAAGAGATCCAACAGAATCTATTAAAGATAATCTTAAGCCAAAGTATAAACCGGCCTGCCGCAGGTAGACCACATACAATGTGGCAAGTAGAACGGATTTGCCAGTAGATTTCATACTATATGACACCCAATAATAATAGAGGCAAATATACAACCTACCTCAACATCATATGTATTATACATATATAGGTATTAATTAGCATACTATTCAATCATTGTACTTATTTTATATATTTTTATAGGTATTGAGAAATAATTTATATCTTACCAGTAGTTACAATAGTAGCTAGCCATATCCCGACTATTAACAGCAGACAACAGGCACTTCATTTTCATAAAATTAACACTTATAAAAACACTTGATTTTCTAAATTATTAATGACATTATGAGTACATAAATATCCAACTAGAACAATGATTGATATTAATTCAAAAACTAATTTTTGTTGAAACTGATTAAGATATCTTTTAAATCATTTAATAGCAAAAATTTGAATAGTTAAGTCAATTTAAAAATACAGACAAATTACTTAACTTGGAATATAGGTAATGTAGGTACTATAAGATTAACTTTATACTTGGTAAGTACACATCAAAGTATATTATTTTTAAAATAAAATTGGAAATATATGTAAACACCAATAATAGTTAAAGCCAAAAACTTAAATAAAAAATTATATAAATGGGTATATTACAATAGGTATTACTGTGCTTACGAGACATAATATATTCTATAAGTACTTAATTGTAAATATAACGACTAGCTGTTATTACAGCAGCCATTTATCATGGGATACCGGTAAAATGCCGGTTTGGAAACCAAAAGTTAAGGAAAATGTTATCTTGGACATAGTATTACTCACGGGTAAGGCGACAATGAATATATTAACGTCTCAAAAATTAACTTAAGTAAAATAAATTTTAATAATTCAATTTTTTTGTTGGATATTCATAATAGTTAGTCTATAATAAAGTAATCACTCATAAATAATTAACATACAGAAATGGTAAAATAAAGTCAGGGATAAACTAAAGTAATGGCTATGTCTTGTTGGAATTTCTGATGTTGTATTTTATGAAATTGAATATGGTCACCTCATATACCCTAGACTACATTACCTATCTATTATGATGAAAAACAAAACTGATAAAAATAAAAACCTAAATACATCAAAAAAAATTAAAAATTAATTTAACTTTTGAACTTGCCCATAAAATTAATCACAGAATATAAAAAAACATTTTAAAGTTGGTAAGTGAAATTTATGAGTATATAATTATACCAATTTTAATGTAACAACACATTTCGGCTATCCGAATATACAATTGTTGATAATAACAATGAATTTTGTGATTTGTCTAAGATTAACCATTAATAAGCCTTCAGATCAATCTATTATAACCTTTAGTTCTTAAACATTTTAAGGGCATATTGAATTTTAATTGAATCAAAGTAACAAGTACCTATTATCAATTATCATATAACTTATTATTACATTAACGGGAAGAGTTGCTAACGACACTTAACTTTTATAAATGGATACAAACCAAAATTAATTTAAAAGCATTGTTTTAATTAAGTATTCATGTTCTAATTTGCGCTATACTATACATAATTTAATCATATATAATATAAGAGTTAATAACCACAAAACACTACAAAATTAAAAAAAAAACAGTATGTAAACAACCACTTCACTCGATTATTTAAACAGTCGATGTTCAATAATCCTGCATACACAAAACGAACTTTTAATATTTAAAAATACAAAATTGAAAATACGCGTTCGCACACCTAGCAGCAAATACAAAATTGCATTAAGAACCGATAAAAACCGAAATTTAACAAGACAAAATCGAAAAAATAGTACTGAAACTCAAACATAATGATAACAACGGATCACCATTCGCCATACAATATTGTTGATAATTCAAACGTGAGGTTATGTTATTATCTCCAACCTCTTAGAAATGGCGCCGAAATAAAAACATACGCATCACAGACCTATTAACAAATTGTCCATGATACGTATAATAATTTTGTAGTTCAAAATATGTATTGAGTTTTATATTTTTTAATTTTAATTATTAATAGGTACAATAATATTATGACATTAACCTAGATAGTTGCTAAGTTGTTATAATATAAGCATTTGGTAAAAGTGTCAATTACTTCAGCTACGGCTGGTATTAATAGTTAATTGAAGGATGAACAATGTCCAGTGTCGAAAAAATTTGAATAATTTTGGGAGGATAATATTCACACTGATACGTCTATGTTAGCATACCTAATAAGTAATTACTCATGGATTGACAAATATTACTGTCGCCAAATCAGGCGCGGATCCAAGTGGCCATGTCCCCCCCCCCCCCCCCCGTAAATACGTTCTAGATCCGCACCTGCGCTAAATGTAGGCTATTTTATAATTTACCAAAACCGACTAACTTCAAATTGCTTCGACAACGAAACTATAACTAGCGGGCCAACTTTCGTTTGCACCATCGTTTTCAGTCTTGAAAATTAGGTACATATTATATTGTACACCTACATGAGATTGAAAAAAAAATTCCAGAATTTAGGGTGCCATCGGTAAATCAGAAATTACGTAACTCCTAAAAACTGGACTAGTCAATAACTTGTCTTTTCGGTTTCCCATTTCAGATTTATAAATTAAGCGGTACTCGAACGTCGGACTCGAACAACTCGACTAAAGGTACACACGCACCGCTGCGATGGCGGTAAATTGTGTCCGGACTCATTAATTGAACGCAACTACTTCCGCCACCGTTGTAGCGTGCGTGGAGACCTTAAAACGACGAATAGCGAGACCGAGAGTCGATAAACACCATAGATATATAATACAACCACAGACATGTACAAACAACACTACAACAGTTGATATATTATGTCTACAATGAATACAACTCGATAACCATCTCAATCTTAACATTGAAGCAAGGCCGCCATCATGCGAAGCTGCCGTTGTTTACATAACACACCTTATCACAGAAAATATTCATAATTCATATCATAATATTCATAATAACCACAAACATTTCGAAATTTCATATTAGGCTTTTACTAATTATTACCTGCAAAACTGTCATTTCCAGACTTCCAGTACTTGTAGGCATAAACTGTTTAAACAAATTAAATTTTCTCAACTTAAATATTCAAACACTACGTCAAATCATTAATACATTCTCTATAGATTACAACAATTTTCAAGACTTAGATTGTGAAAATATATCCACATTAGATAGACCACACAAAATTGTACCTACTTATTACTTTAATTATTAACAGATTTTTTTAATTATCCGCCTCAAATCTTATGGCGAAATGTTTTCTCCTAATATCTTAAATCCACATAGCAAGCGTCATGCACTAACTAACAAATATTATTTTCACATCAATAATGTACACGAATTATTTATTTATAAAAGTGTTTTTATTAAATGACTTATTGTTCTATGTCTTATGGACAAATGTTGTATGTCATTTTTTAAATTATATTTATATATTGTATCTTTGTTAAATCAGTAGTTAATGATCAGTCATGTTATACATTAATGACTATAAATAATGATGTTTTCCATGATATAATTCCAAAAAATACCCATGTATTATAAAGTTAAGTAGTACAAATTTATATATAATATACAGGGCCGTACTTAGGGGGGTGGGAATGTGGATATTTGCCCCGGGCGGCCTGCAAATATTGATCTATTTAGGGGACGGCCGGGCACCGCAGTAACCCGGTGTAGTATTGTATCAATAAATATTTTTTTTTGGAAAGAATTTGTACTATGACACTGTCCTTGTGAACTTAGCAGTGCAACGTAACAAATAAGTGCTAGTATAGAATATAATTAATATTATTTTAACATAACCACGGTTGTAGATAGACAACCATGACTTAACCATAAAGAATTAAGAACTAAAAATGTGTTAAGAAAAATCAAAAAGTGGATCTATTTTTTGATGGGGGGGAGGGCGTAAAATTATGGTTAACCAATGTCGCAAAAATTATAAATACGGCCCTGATTATATGCGTCTACTGTAGAAGTTATAATATAATTTGGTACTGGTCTAGTAGATCCCCGCCAAGCAAATAATCCCCCCGCAACTCAGGTTTAGTTGACGCCCGACACTTAAATATTTCGTGCGATATTCTATTCAATAATCAATAATTTAATATTTAATTATTAAAAATATTCATATTAATATAAATTGATAAAAAAAGTAAGAAAATAATTTAAATAATTTATCATACATTCATTCGGTATTTATAAATAAATCGCAAAAAAATTATCCACATCAGCTAAGACATCAGGGGCGTATTTATGGGGGTGGCTGAGGGGGCTTCAGCCCCCCCCCCCGAAATCTAGGAATTGTTTATTAAGTCTACTTATTATGTTCTACTAGATGTAAAATCGTAAAAGTTCAATATAATTTTATAAAGAATTATTATTAACAACGAACAAGTTATTCATATTAATATAATGTGTCAATGACGATTTTGATCGTAACGATTATATCTTTGAGTTCGGTATATAATGTTTAATTTTGAAGTGGGGTACTGCTGCATTATCGTAATTTTGATTTCTTTTATCTAGAATTGATTTACTGATATTATACACGCGTTGTCGCGTTTCAATCACTGTACAATAATTATACGAGCATTACGAGTTGTGACGACGGCCGGCTGTTATATTATAGTCGCTATTATAGATAAATATTTTGTTGACTGATATATACGACGTTTAGTATTGCACGTAGTACGTAGGTACCTACTAACTACTAAGACAGTGGATTGTGATGAGTGTTTTTATTTGTTGGTTAAATAAAATAATAATAATACACCTAAGCATAATGAAAAGAACTCAAAAATCATTATTGCAAACAGTGACAAAGAAAGAAATTTAAATTTAATTTGATTTGTTATATTAATATCGTATTATTATTATTATTTCATTATTAATTTTTTGAAAACATTAAAAATCATGACAAAAATTAAAATTGTGTACTAATTTTCTAACTCTTATTTTTAATAGGCTGAATTAGGGAATTTTAGTTGGAGAAAATACCACAGCCCCCCCCCCCCAAAAAAATATCTTAATACGCCCCTGTAATACATATAATAATGCAGAAAATAATAAAAATTAAGCACTCAACAGTAAACCACTAGTATAACTTTGTAGATCCTATGAGTGGAGCTCACACGCAGAATGTTGAGAGGATGTGGAGAAGTGCTAAATGGTTCAACAAGAAACGAAGAGGGACCAAGAGAAACTTTCTAGATTCTTATTTGTCAGCATTTTTGTGGCGAAGTAAATTAAGCGGCGTCGATCCATTTAATGAAATTTTGAAGGACATAGCAGAATTTTGGCCACCTGCATAATGTTTTATTATTTTCTGCATTATTATATGTATTAGCTGATGTTGTGTATCATTTTTTTTGCGATTTATTCATAAATACCGAATGAATGTATGATAAATTATTTAAATTATTTTCTTACGTTTTTATGAATTTATATTAATTGAATATTTTTTATAATTAAATATTTAATTATTAATTATTGAATAAAATATCGAAAACACGAAATATTTAAGTGGCGGGCGTCAACTAAACCTGAGTGGCAGGGGGATTATGTTCTTGGCGGGGGTCTACTAGACTAGTATCTATAATTTTTATAGAATTAAATAAAAACATGGTATTTGACATTCGTTTTTGTTACTTTTCTTACATTTCTAGTAACTCATCTCAAGTATTAGAAAAAAAATTAAAAACATTTGTTAAACTGTCACACCTAAAGTGTTATTTACTGGGATATTTATAATGCTTATGATATTTGAAAGTCAATGTCTTAAATATTTAAATTAATTGATCTCAGTTACTGATAGGTTCTAAAAAGCTACTTACTTTTTTATACAAATGTTGTATTTTTTTTAGGCGGACGTTGATTAAAGTTATATTTTCGACCAGGGCACGGGATCAGTTGTAATTTCCAGAACTGAATCAGTATCATATAATTTGTGGTTAATAAATAATAATAAAAATTTCAAATTTTCATATACTTATCAAAACTAAATTATATATAATTATAATTATATAATATAATGGGTCAAAACTTATCGTTAAGTAGAATCTATTTCATTTAACATAATATACATTATAAGACAAATGCGCATTTTAGGCTAATCCGTTGATCTATTCGAGGAAAAAAGAACAATGCGACATTTAGTTTTAACTTTTAATCTTCTCTATAATATGTGTTATCTATCAACCGGAGACTTCAAATACTTGACATGATTTTAACTTCTATATTATGTTAACAAAAAAAATAAGATAAGTCCTTTGAAAAGTTAAAATTGTAGCAAGAATAGAAACCAACAGATCTCTTTTGTCGCGCACGGCGCACAAACAAGCAATTATAACTACACGTCTACACAACAATATAAAAGCGACGGATAATTCAATGTATGGCATTCTGATGTCCATATTATGGAGGTAGTGATATCAATTTTGTAAGTAAGATTATCTTTGAAGTCCATCAACTCGAGCACTTCACTTTTACTTTAATTAGTTTTTACTTTATTTAAGACATATTTTAAGTAATATAAGATATATTTGTTAAGAACCTAATTTAGGAACTATTTAAATATCAATTTTAATACAAATAAATAAAGATTGATAATTGTCTTTGTATTAAATATTTTTATTAAACAAGAAAAATATATTCGTTTGTCTGTATAACTTTTTCAATTGTATATACAACTGTATATGCAACTGTAACATTTATTTTTTTTTTGCTTGCGTACTTTTAACCTAACCCTAAACGGAGCAGCACAACATGCGCCGGACGAATTTCTTCGTCCGGCTCCAAATTGTGCGACGTCGTTTGGGATGTATAGGCTCACTCCTGACGAGTGACGTCACTACATTTGTCATGCGTTTCGGGTTCTGGTTGGTCCATCAGTGGACAACGTAGAAGGATGTTCGGTGCTGAGGACCACCGACAGCCACCCATTAATCTTTTATCTATGCAGCCACCGAATTCGCTTGTCTTCGGGATGCCAGCCGATATTACCCGAAGTTCCGGCTCAGACGTACACGTTGTCGTGTCAACTCTGTCCGGTGTATCCACAACGGGGGAACTAATCGTATGGTCGACCAGCGACATGTAATGACGGAACGTTTGTTCTGCATAGTTCGCTACGGGCACATTGTTTTCCGGTGGACTGGATGGTAGTAAGTTTGGTCGGAACGGGACTGACAACGACTGATAAATCTTGGCGTCTCCTACCGAGTGTCGACGACATGTTGTGGCCACGTTTAGCGTCGACGAGTATCTTATTATGGCCGGCCCTGTTCTAACGCTGGTTGGAAACGTCGATGGTATGTGAAATTCAACCGATCTTCGAACACTAACTTCATCTTATCACTCTCCGTCAACTGCAGCTTGATGGATTCAGGCGAGGTAAACATATTCAAAAATACGTATTAAGCTAGTACAATGATATAGCAGACACGCAGGTCGATGCTTCAAGGTAGAGTAGCAAGTGGGTAATGACTCATATGTCAACAATCTTCGAGTGACAAAAATAATTTATGCTAGTCAAACCTATCGCAACGATGTTTTGTTGATTTTGTATCGGCCAGAAAAATATTAGGAACTCTATTAAATATTGTTACAAATACATTAATTGAAAATTGAAAAAAAAAACAAACGTTTTGATTATATGAGTCTTGGGTCGACCTTTATGTTTTTTTTTTTTTTAACAGGAATGTGGCTCTTCTGTGATAATATCAATTTTATTACACTATGGAACCTGTAGGAGGAGTTAGCTGAAGAAAATATGAAAAGGTGGCAGTGTATACGTTGGCACCTCTTTTATTTTCATGGATTATTAGCTAGATATTAAATTACTTAAATGACAATAATAAATTATATTAAAACATGTTGTATACATTTTATAATTAATGTTTATAATTAATTATAAATTATTTTATATAGTTTGCTAAGGTAAACGGAGTCAATTTAGTAGATTGCACAGTTCCGCAGATTGATATTGGGACAAGAAATAATAAAAACCGCACTAGTCCCCCTCCCTACAAGTACGTTTTTGAGTGAGGAATACTTTTCACGTTATGTTAACTAGGTTATTATACTCATAAGTAGTCTAGTAGTCATATTATGTAGAATGATTTATGTTTTACTAATATTATATATATAGTTTCTTAATATTGTTAAAAATATATTAAAATAGTTTACTAACCTGTCAACGTTAAATTTGTTAAAAGAACATAGGTTCAATATTGGGTGACTTAATACATTAATATTAATTGATATAGTAAAATAATATCAATATTTATTTTATAATTAAAAAAATATATGCATCAGCAGGTTTTAGTTCTATATGTGGGTGGGTGGGTTACGACTTACGGATAGCTTCAGTATTTGTCCCTAAGAATAAAATGTTTGTGACGCCACTGTATATATTTACATATTACTCTCCAGAAAAAAATCAAGGAACAACCTAATGCAAGGGTATTAAAATATAGTGTACACTTTTGTGACCTAAGAAAGAGAAAGAGAGAAAGAAATACTTAAAAACTAGGAAGGTGAATAGATAATAATACGTATGTACTCTTTCTTTTATTGATATTTTAATTACAAAGCAGGTTGTTAGCATTTAAAATGATTATAACTTGCTTCAAGATTTAAATATTAATTACTCATTGCTTATATTAGGTAGGTACACTGACATTTGTGGTTATAAGGTTTTTTCAACTTTTTTTTTTGCATACAGACCCCAATGAACAACAAAGTATTTATATTATTTCAATATATATGCATAATCTTGAACATTCAGGTTTGTAAACTCACATGGCACACCTCATCAGCCCTCATATGCCATTTTCGACTGTTGCCGGCTAGGTATACAGCATTGCAAGACAGACGGAAACTATTGATGCTATGAGTGCTTTTTTATTTTATTTTCATGTTTTGAATATATGAAGAACTATTTCGTCTCACAATTGTACGTGAAGTAAATATAATTTCTGGCATGCTGTTTTATCATCTTTACATCATTAGCGGATCTACGCAGGGGGTTAAATAACTAAGGTGATATTTTAATGAACATTGTCAAAATTTTAACTATAATTAAATGCAAATATAAAAATAATCGTGGCAATATATCTTTAATATTTTTTAACTGCTATTTAAGAAACTTATGAGAAACCTCGCATTCAATTTTCAAACTTTTAACCGAGTAAACATTTTTCACAAAATTCGAAAAATAGCTAAGAGTCAATATATTTCAAAAATGTTAGCATAATGTATAGAAAATGCTAATATAAATATTTGGTGATAATTTAAAGTGTTTACGATTATTAGTTTTTAAGTTACACTGAAAAAATAAAAACCGATTTTTGTAAATTTTTTGTATTTTCGATTAGTAGAGGTGCCTACCTAATTTTAAATTAATTATATATATATACACATTATTATATGGGTACTTGAAATCGGAATATATGGTAGGTATATCAGCATAAGTTAGAATAGAAGGCTTAAAAATGTTTAAGGCATGGTAAAAATTATTATGTTAATCCTTAAAAATATTGTTAGGCATCATTGGTATAATACCAGGTAATTAAAATGTTTAACTAAAATATAGTTCACCAAGAGGCTAACATGGGATTTTAATCATTGAAATCAAAACTATATAATATATGTATAACTATTAACTCATTATACTATTAACTATATATGCATATCAGGTAACAAGAAGAAAATGTACTTAAAAAAAATGTATTATTTATTAATTATTATTATACATTGCAATATTTAAATTCTAATGTTTTATATAATTTTTACTGTGAACAATAGTTACTAAAATTAAAAAAAAACTGTAACTCCTATATATTTTCTTCTAAAATACAAACTTAATGAAATGTTTGATGACAAATCAAAACTTAATTGCTTCAGAGTTAGGACAGTTTAATTGTAAAGACACGCACATAACAATGTACAGATTCAAACTTCAATAACTTCAAAACAATAATATTATTATATTATATTAGCAATATAATTTCACGATCTGTCTCATGCTGTATTTAACGATACTGGTAATTAGGTGAAATACTACTATTCATATGAAAAAGGTATAATAAAGTAAAATTTGGCGTATAGTAGTATCTATATCCGACTACGTGTTCACTATTCACAATTGTAAGTATAAAGAAGTACAGATCTATTTAGTAAAATGTAACTGAAAACAATTTATTTTTTATGTCATAGAACATTTTCTTTTTATAAGAATAAAAAATTGCTATGTATAGTTTAGGTACCTATTCTATTATATGAACTTGTTACGATTGTTACATCATTATTTACATTTTATCAACATAATATATGTACAATATAGTTAGATATTATATTATATCTTATAAACATAACAAGTACAACATGCTGCTTAGATATTAAGCCCTTCCTATATGTTACTAACATTTTTTACATCCATAGTTATCTCGGTTGTGACAGTCGTATTTTCTTCAAGCTCACGTTTCGAGTCGTGGGATAACTGGATAACAGTGGATTTTTAGCTGCTGGTTTGAAAAACTTATCTAGTACCCTTCGCTTCATGACAATTAATACAAATTAAGCAGATATAAAAAATAATTAAAATAACGACAAATATGTAACTATATTCCCAATAACTAAACTCATACTCAATACTTATGTATTATTAATATCTCATAAAACTATGAAAGACATTGCTGTCTGCTGATAATGCTAATATATCTATGATATATCATGTATATATATTTTCAAATAACGACGCTAAGCCTTTACGAAAATCCAGATTATAATAAAGATAACAAGTATAAATTCGAAATGCCACACTTCATATTATATTGTTATTATTATTTTTTATTTTGGATATATGATAATTTATTGACGTTATACGACGTTGCTGACTTGTGTAAACCTTCCCCGATAAAAATAAAATTTTATTATGAATAATATTCAAAATTCGACCATTCTCCAGTGATTAATTTTCATACCACAATACAATAAAAATATTTTATAATAATACATATTTAATAACAAAATATTTTATTTTGATTTAAATTCTAAGGATGGTAATTTTATACGGAAGAACGAAAACATTTCGGGGGGGGGGGAGACCCGGTGGACCCTCCCCCCCCTCCTGGATACGTGCCTGCCACTGACCTATAGAGTACCTAGATATTGAGCGGAACACAGTTTGAGAACATATCTGCAATACCTATAGTGCACACGACATTCTACATTGAATACTAACTGAAACAATTATTAATAATTGTTTTTAGTGATAATATTTGATTTTTTTTTTTTAGGACTAAAATACTAAAAATCTTTCTTCGATGGCCAGTTCATCAATAACTTCATCGATATTTTATATAATATCTATTGTAATTTTTTAAAATAATTTTAATGCAAATAACTAAATAGTTAATACCTGTACACCACAAGGTACATGTTGCGAAACTGACTAAAATGTATATAAAAGCCAGTAGGTATTTACTAAGTAGTAGGTACAAAGTTTAATATAAATATATTAACGTTTATAGGTACTTAAATATGTAAATATGTAATACAATCGGCTAGTTTTTCGTCTAAAAATACAAATGATTTTGTTCTAAATAAATAAGAATGCCGATAGCCTGATTACACGCAATATACTACTATATATAAAACAATTCGTTAATAATACAAATTTGGCTTTTGGTATTTTATTCTAGAATAAATAATTAATCTTGTTTTTATATTACAAATGCACGACTGTACAGCCTGCTTTGTATGGAGTTCGGCGGCAGCGGCGCGAATGGACATTAACAGAGATCAGGGATACCTACATTTTTGTATAAACCTGTCAATTTATACATTTATTCTTCCTATGTTTTTTTTTTTTTAATGGATTTGTAAAAAAAGTATAATTCAGAATTACTCATATGGTAATTGTGATTTATAAAATGGGTAACGGTCCAATATGCGACCTACAAATGTTACTCGACCTACCGATAAGATTGTGTTGATCTGCATGTTTCTTTATCGTGGTTATTGTCGTTATGGGGATTTTATTCTATTTTATTCTTGTTCTCCAATACTTACAATCATTAATATTTGTATTTACTGTCATGTTGAGATATACGATATACCAGTAAATTGTTTTTCAAAAAGAGAGAAAATGGGTGGTCATGGTTGTACTGTCCAAACTGACGAATCTCTTTTTCAAGGTATAAAAGGAAGTATAACTGTGGTCAATTACAATGTGGGGGCCATCAGCCATTAAAAGAAATAAATAATTCCAACAACGAAGATTCTGACGAAAATGAGATAGTACATACAAATAAAAATTACGGAAATCGTATGGTAGGCCCATGGGTATTTGGTATTTGTTGGACTTATTATTATTTTTTTTAAATTTTAATTTGCCTTTTATTTTAAAATAATTATAGCAAAAACTTATTATTAGAACGGTGGTTTTTATCGTAGAAAAACGGGACCGAGAAACTCTTTTACAAATTATTAAAAATGAAATAAAAACTAGAACGACAATTTATAGTGGAGAGCGTACTCAACATTAAATCATCATGGATATATTCATCAAACAGTTAACCACTCGGAATTATTATAGAAACCATTTACGAGAATTATGTTGGGCCTTAGCTCATGACTATTAATGTCAGTGAGATTTGAAAACTTACTGCACAAATGTACAGGACATTTTAATATTTCATTTATCTATATTGTTTTATTATAATATAATATTATTATATTAGGACTATATTAGGTAAATATACATACATATGTTATATTAATTAAACATATTACATTGCATTATCATGATAAGTAATAACAAATAACATAAATACACATAAACAAAGCATATAAGTAATAAAATTAGTTAATTTATAATACTATATTATTATTTATTAATATTAATCAGTTGCGTAAACTATATAAATTTACTCAAGGCTTGTTAGACCATAAATAGGCATA